GACATCTCAAAGGTCGGACATGAGGGGGACGAGGTTGGGGGAGGGAGCAAGTCGATTCCTCTTCTTTTTGTGTACCCTGTGTCCAGACCAGTGTGAGGACGTTGGAAGAGTTGGAGGAAGCCGACTCGTTTTTTCCTATTTTCCGGTTCTTTTTAAACGATTCGGGTCTTCTTTCTACAATGGAAAACAAATATTTTAGAAAACGATTAATTACGTACGATACATATTCTCAAGAAGCTTAATTAGTTAAACTGATGCTGGCAATAAAATAAACCAATTTTATAATATTATCTGCTCTGGAAATTTATTTTAAATAAAATTTGCCTCAAAGAGTTGATAATGGAATAGCTGTGAGCTTTTTAAGTCCAGTTTCGTTGTGAAACTCTGGAGTGTACATTAAAAAAATGAGCAACGACCTTTACCACAAATTTGTTAGGCGCAGAATTTTTAAAATAAATTCGAGAGAGGAGAAATAGATTAAAAATGTTCTATTATCTTCCTATAATCTTTACGCTTAAAAGCAGAATATGGTCAAAAATTAACTGCAACTCTTAAAAATGCGGATTTTGAAACCAACTTGCACTTCAAATTCGATACACTAAATCCAGGGTTCAGAATTCTATTACAATTCTTACCCGTTTATCAATACTACGTTATTCTGGATCTTTTTAAGTTTTCTCAGATAAAATTAAGAGTCGCATTTATTTTTCAAAAATTGGTGTCATTATTTGTAAGAGGGTTTCCCTGCACCTTGGTCTTGACCTTGCCCCTCGACTTATTATCCTTCTGTTCCGTGTCATTTCTCATCATCGTCGGTACTCGCTCAATTATTTTTCTGGCCTTCTTGCCTTCTTTTTAACTTTTCTTCTGTTAAATGATCTTTGGCGACGTTGTTCGTCGTTCCATATCCACTGTCGCTCGTCGCTGGTCTTAAGTTCACAAGGTCGCCGTACCGTCGAGCCTCGTCCTCTGTCGCTTACTGGCTTATTCTCCTCCATAATTTCTTCTTCCTCCCGGAGAGATTTTGCATTGGGGACCAAGCTTGCGACGACCCCTCCCGTGTGAATTAGATCTTCCGGAGACGTTGGAGGTTAGATGTGCAGCACTTTGGAGAGAGGGCCCTTTGGTTCCCGTTTCGCTTGCCTATCTTCAACGGTTTCCGGTACATTTGGCTTATCTTTCATGTTGGGCTCTGTAGTGCGTCCTGCTGCTTTAACGACTCTTATAGCGGCGGCTAATTCTTGGATCCGCTTCGTTTACTAAGCGTCCAAAGAATTGGTCTCCTCCATCGCGATGAAGCTGAAATGGTAGGAAATTGGTATTATATAATGAGTTTTGTGGTTAATTGATAGAAGAGGGTTGGAATAAAATACTAATTGAAAACACAAATTTCAAACACTAATGAATGAAAATGAAATTTCGCATTTTGCTTTGTATTTTTGTCGTTCATTCCGTTGAAAAATTATTAATCATGTTTCTGGAAAAATTTAGCTGGGTGAATTTTACAGATGTTTCGCCAAGATTTTCGAATTCCTTCCCAAAAAAGATTCGATTTCTTCTCCCGTCTTGATAAACTAATTGAATTATAGTTAACGATTGCGTATTAATAAATATTTACGTATTTTCTATCTATTTCATTACGGAGTTTTATTTGTACATAAATTTCCCACCATTTTAAGAAAAGCATATTGTCCCTGTTTTGTAATTAAATCTTGTATTGTTATTATCCCAGAGAAACCAATTATTTCTCCACGTGTTGACAATTAGCAGAATTCAAATTGAAGTTATGACAAAAAAAACATTCTAAAAAACAGTCAACTTACATTGCAGCACCTCGCTCCAACGCCAATTAAATCCTTATTAAAGTGTTTATACTTAAAACCAAGGATATTTACTCATTTTTAATTGACAATTTACAATTATCCGATTTCAAAATTAAGAAGTTAAATTTGCATACAAAAATATTTAAAAGACAGAAAAATCAACCTATCTTACACTACAACGCACTAGAAATAGTTTGCGCTTGCCAAAGTTGACTAACTATTTAGTAGAATACTTGTACAAAATTAATTTCCACGGGAACAATAGTAAATTTCTGGCGAGGCAAATAATGAGCACACATTTGCACGTCAGCTGCAGCCGAGGAAAAGTCGGGCATCGGTAGGTTCTGCTTCCTCCCCCGGTCTCAGCATTTCTCAAACGCCACCATGAACAAACGGCAGCTCGTCGTGGACTGTGCAGAAACATGTGCGATGAATTTTAGGAGGGTAAAGGCTATCCTATTCCCTACCATTGTGATACAATATGGGACGTATAGGTACACCGGGGGTAGGGTGGCAAAATTCTTCCAAGATCGAATCACATGCTCTATGTACGGCCCATTAATGCATTTGAAAATGCAGCAATTCGTCAACCTGTAACAAAAACCTGCCATGAAATATGCATTCTACCCAGTGGCGCAACTACCTTTCGGGGGCCCCTAGGCATGCGACAAAATTTAAACTTTATTAACAAATGTATATAGTAACTCGAAGTTCAATTTTTTAACTGGGATATTTCCATAAGCGTTTCACCCTTCTTATTCGCTTAAAAACTATGAATACCCGTTACAAATATATGTATATCAAATAATCATACAACTAAAAACGTTTATCTAAAGGCTGATTCCATTTGTAAGCAACACGTTTGATCGAGTCCCAGAAAATAGAGGTGCTAAACTCCGTTCAAGCTGTCTGAGGAGGGGAGCTTCCGAGGTTGATAATAACAGATCTTGATGCCCTTTGGATATGTAGTAGGGACCAATGAGTGTACTAAAACCCTGGGGAGGAATTCAATTGTACTTGCGCAAGCGTAAGCATAATTTGATTCAAAATCTAAGCTTAAGCATTGCGGCAAATTACAATTGAATTCTCCCCTGAAGTGGTTGACTCCATGGCCACATTTGCGCCCGCCACACCCACTCAAAAATGCCCAAAAAACGCTTTTACTCCAGTTTTCACTCACTCAAATCCACGCCAAAAATCCAATTTTACTCGGATTTTGAAATTTCTTTCACCATTATACTCCCAGATAGTTGCTTTCTTCAATCCAATATCAAACTCAATTTTATGATGATTATTTCGCAAAATAATTTGTTTGTTGATTACTACAACAATGCTATCAGAATTTTAAATTTTAAAAATACTCAAAATTTCGAAAAAATTGAGTTTGATATTGGATTGAAGAAAGCAACTATCTGGGAGTATAATGGTGAAAGAAATTTCAAAATCCGAGTAAAATTGGATTTTTGGCGTGGATTTGAGTGAGTGAAAACTGAGTAAAAGCGTTTTTTGGGCATTTTGAGTGGGTGTGGCGGCGCAAATGTGGCCATGGAGTCAACCACTCGGGAGAATTCAATTGTAATTTGCGCAATGCTTAAGCTTAGATTTTGAATCAAAATTTATGCTTACGCCTTGCGCAAGTACAATTGAATTCCTCCCCAGGGTTTAGTACATCATTGGTCCCTACTACATATCCAAGGGCATCAAGATCTGTTATTATCAACCTCGCAAGCTCCCCTCCTCAGACAGCTTGAACGGAGTTTTAGCACCTCTATTTTCTGGGACTCGATCAAACGTGTTGCTTACAAATGGAATCAGCCTTTAGATAAACGTTTTAGTTGTATGATTATTTGATATACATATATTTGTAACGGGTATTCATAGTTTTAAGCGAATAAGAAGGGTGAAACGCTTATGGAAATATCCCAGTTAAAAAATTGAACTTCGAGTTACTATATACTTTGTTAATAAAGTTTAAATTTTGTCGCATGCCTAGGGCCCCCGAAAGGTAGTTGCGCCACTGGGTAGAATGCATATTTCCATGCAGGTTTGTTTACACGGTTGACGATGCTGCATTTCATAATGCATTAAGGGCCGTACATAGAGCATGTGATCGATCTTTGGAGAATTTTGCCCTACCCCCGGTGTGACCTATACGTCCCATATTGTAATTCACATGGTAGGGATAGGATGCCTTTACCCTCCTCAAATTCATGACATGCTTTCTGCACAGTTCCCACGACGAGTTGCCCGTTTGTTCATGGTGGCGTTGAGAAATGTGAGACGCGGGAGGAAGCAGAACCTACCGAGCCGACTTTTTCCCTCGGCTGCAGCTGACGTGCAAATGTGTGCTCATTATTTGCTCCGCCAGAAATTTATAATTTGTTCCCGTGGAAATTAATTTTGTACAATATTCTACTAAATAGTTAGTCAACTTTGGCAAGCAAACTATTTCTAGTGCGTGTAGGTAAGTAGGTTGATTTTTCTGTCTTTTAAATATTTTTGTAGCAAATTTAACTTCTTAAATTTGAATCGGATAATTGTAAATTGTCAATTAAATGAGTAAAATCCTTGGTTTTAAGTATTAAACACTTTTAATAAGGTTTTAATTGCGTTGAGCGGGTGCTGCATGTAAGTTGACTGTTTTTAGAATGTTTTTTGTCATAACTTCAATTTGAATCGGCTAATTGTCAAACGTGGAGAAAATAATTGGTTCTTGGGATAAATAAAATACAAGATTTAATTACAAAACAGGGCACAAATATGCTTTTCTTAAATGGTGGGAAATTTATGTACAAAGTAAAACTCCGTAATTAAATAGATTAGAAAAATACGTAAATATTTATTAAACGCAATCGTTAACTATAAATTCAATTAGTTTATCAAGACGGGAGAAAGAAATCGAATCTTTTTGGGGAAGGAATTCGAAAACTTGGCGAAACATTGTAAAATTCACCCAGCTAAATTTTCCAGAAACATGACTTAATAATTTTTCAACGGAATGAAACGACAAAATACAAAGCAAAATGCGAATTTCATTTTCATTCATTTTGTTTGAAAATTTGTGTTTTCAATTAGTATTTTATCAACCTCTTCTAATCAATTAACCACAAAACTCATTATAATTACAATTTCCTACCATTTCAGCTTCATCGCGATGGAGGAGACCAATTCTTGGACCTTATAAACGAAGCGGATCAAGAATTAGCCGCCGCTATAGAAGCGTTAAAGCAGCAGGACGCACTACGAGACCAACATGAAGATAAGCCAAATGTACCGGAAAACGTTGAAGATAAGGCAAGCGAAATACGGGACCAAGGGCCCCCTCTTCTCCCCAAAGTGCTGCACATCTACCTCCAACGTCTCCCGGAAGATCTAATTCACACGGCGAGGGGTCGTCGCAAGCTGGTCCGCAATGCCAAAATCTCCTCCGGGGAGGAAGAAGAAATTATGGAGGAGAAGATAAGACCAGCTAAGCGACAGAGGACGGAGGCTCGACGGTACGGCGACCTTGTAGAACTTAAGACCAGCGAGAGCGACAGTGATATGGACGACGACAACGTCGCCAAGATCAATTTAAAGAGAAGAAAAGTTAAAAAGAAGGCAAGAAAGGCCAGAAAAATAATTGAGAGTGACGACGATGATGATGATGACAGCGACCAGAAGGATAAGAAGTCGAGGGGCAAGGTCAAGACCAAGGTGAGGGAAAACTCTTACAAATAATGACACCATTTTGAAAAATAAATGCACTCTTAATTTTATCTTCGAGAAAACTTAAAAAGATCCAGAATAACGTTAGTATTGATAACGGGTAAAATTGTATCTAGAATTCTGACCCTGGATTTAGTGTATCGAATTTTGAGTGCAAGTTGGTTTTCAAAACCGCATTTTTAAGAGTGCAGTTAAATTTGTAAATATTCTGCTTTTAGCGTAAAGATTATAGGAAAAATAGACACATTTTTAATCATTTCTCCTCTCTGCGAATTTATTTTAAAATTCTGCCCTACAAATTTGTGGTAAAGGTCGTTGTCAATTTTTTTTAATGTACACTCCAGATTTTCACACCGAAACTGACTTAAAAAGCTCACAGCTATTCCATTAATCAACTCTTTTGAGGCAAATTTATTTAAAATAAATTTCCAGAGCAGATAAATTATTAAAATTGTGTTTATTTTATTGACCAGTCATCCAGTTTAACTAATTAGCTTTCTTAGCAATATGTATGTACGTAATTAATCGTTTCTTTAAAATATTTGTTTCCATTGTAGAAAGAAGACGACGATACGTATGACGAGGACGAGTCGGCTTCCTCCAACTCTTCCAACTCCTCCCACTGGTCTGGCACAGGGTACAAAAGAAGAGGAAAGTCGACTTGCTTCCCTCCCCCCAACCTCGTCCCCCTCATCGTCCGACTTTGAGATGTCCAGTAAGGCCAAGGCCGCAAAAAAGTTGAAGAAATCCAAGAAGAAGAAACGATCTCAATTTTTAAATGATGGGGTGGGAATAGAATGAATTTATAGCAAGTATTAAATTATATATTGATGATTAATTAATTACTGATTTAGGACGACTTTGAGGACATTAAGGACGGATTCGTCTCCCGGGAACGAGAAAGGCCGAAAAGGAACAGGAAGTCGAAGAAAAAGAGAAATTTAGCTGAATCCGGATCAGATAATGTAGAGTATATTTTTAGTTAACATATAACTCGATGAATCATCGTCAAAATTAACACATTTTTAATTATTCATCTGCTCTGGGAACTTATTTTAAAATTCTGAATGACAAATTTCCCGTCAATTAGTTGATTAATGGAATGGCGTCGAGTTTTGTAAGCCAGTTTCGATGAGTTCCAATTTTTCTGAAGATTTCCTCTCCTTCAAAAAGTGTCAAATTCTTGAGTACATTTTCAAAAAATTGGGAACAATCTATTCTACGAATTTGTCGGGCAGAATTTTAAGGTAAATCTCCAGAGAAGAGAAATGATTAAAAATGTGCTGGTTTTGACGATGCGTCATCGAGTCCTACATTAATGATTTATTTGTTAATTACGTAAATCTTAAATTTCTGTAAAATTTAGTTTCTTTTAAAAATCTATTTCTTAAATTTCAGGAAAATGAAGAGGATTTCGAAGCCCCTTTCAAAAAGCAGGACGATGACGAAGATGACGGAAACTTGTCGGAATTGTCGCTGCCCGTATCGTCTGATGAGGAGGAAGAAGGGAAATTAGGCGACGAAGAATTCAAACGGGGATGGACTCCTTCTCCCTGGAGGAGGAAGCCGATACGACAAATTGTGATAAGGATAAGGCGGAAGGTGATGATAAGAAGGAGAAAGGAAACCTGAAAGATAAGGAGGAATTGCCGGAAGAGGAGGTAAATTAAATTAACTCAATTTATGTACAGGTGCAAAATTTCCTATTTTTTGCTAATTTAGGCTCGCAAACGCCGCCTAGAATATATTCTGAAACGTTCCGAATTCTACACGAAAAAACTGACTGCGGGCGGCATTGGGGGACTAACTTCGGGGGGAAGGCAGCCACAGCCAACTTAAATTCTACGGCAGGAAGGTAATTTGTTAGCTTAAAATGACTAATTAATTAATGTATGTAGGACTCGAAACTTGTGAGTGATAAGTTATTAGTAACATCGTTAAACCCACCACATTTTTAATCACTTGTCCGCTCTGGAAATACATTTTAAAATTCTGGACGACAAATTTGTAGTTTATTAATGAAATGGCGACGAGTTTTTGGAGATAGTTTCAATAAGTTCCAATTCTTCTGAAGGATTCCTAAACTTGGATCTTCTCTTTCAAAACGTGTCAAAAGTATATTTTTACAAAATTTGGCTGCGACAAATTTTTCGTCCAAAATTTATATAAATTCTGAGAGCAGAGAAATGATTAAAAATGTGCTAATTTTGACTTTAAAAACTCACCGTCATTCTATTAATAACTAACTGAGGTCAAATTTGTCTTGAAAAATTTAAAACAAACTCCCAAAGACTTCGGGAATTTGTTTTAAAATTTGGGTCTTAATTTTTCTGATTAGTTATCGAGTCTTGGGTTTCTTTAAACCATGTATTTTACTTTTTAGCCGGCGCCGAACCCGTGTGAAAAAGGACGACGCTGACCTCTACCTCATGGAATCCATTACCTCCTCCTCCCCAAAGGTCCCGTCATATTCGACTCCTCCCCCGGCTTCATCGCAGGCGGAGAATGCGCGACTACCAAGTCCGAGGACTAAATTGGCTCGTGAACCTGTACGAAAACGGTATTAATGGAATCCTCGCGGATGAGATGGGGTTGGGAAAAACGCTTCAAAGTATTTCCGTCCTGGTTATCTGAAGCATGTCAAGGGGCTTAAGTACCATGCGCTTATCATCGTCCCCAAAAGTACGCTGAGCAATTGGATGAACGAGTTCAAACGGTGGTGCCCCACGATAAGAGCGTTGGCCATGATTGGAGATAAGGTATCGAGGCAGAAACTGATTAAGGAGGGGTTAAAAAAGCTGCAAAATTGGGACGTGCTTGTAACAACGTATAAATGGTGCTGATGGAAAAGGCTGTGTTAAAAAAGGTAGGAAATTTTGGAAATTCTATTTTTGAAATTCTCATCAAATTTTTACAATTCGTAATAATAAATTCAAACTTTAACACTTTTTGTTAAGGTAGGACTCCGTGGCTCGTTACCAAAATCAGCACATTTCTATTCATTTCCCCGTTCTGGGAATTTACTTTAAAATTCAAATTTATTGGCAGGGAAGTGCCAATTTCTTTAAATATACACTTCAGATTTTGGTAGATTGTGAAGGAATAGATCTCAAGTTTATTCGATCCTGGCTTAAAAAAAATTCTTAACTCTTTAAAACTGTTACGAATTTTAAAATAAATTTCCAAAGCCGAGGAATGATTAAAAATTATGACGATTTTTGGTGACGAGTCAATAAGTCCTAGGTTAAACATGGTCTAAAATTGGTATTTAAAAATTTAACTGCATCATGATAACCTTATTTCGAATTTTGTTTAGATTCATTGGGGCTACCTCATAATCGACGAGGCCACCGGATCAGAACGAGCAGTCCCTGCTGGCCAAGGTCGTCGAACGCTGCGGTCCCGCCACCGCCTCCTCCTGACCGGAACTCCCCTGCAAAACAACCTCCACGAGCTGTGGGCCCTGCTCAACTTCCTGCTTCCGGAAGCCTTCTCTTCCGCAGAAGATTTTTCCTCGTGGTTCGCCGAGGACGAAATCGGCGCCGAGAGCGAGGGGCTCGTCAAGCGGCTGCATACCATCCTCCGCCCCTTCCTCTTAAGGAGACTAAAGTCCGAAGTGGAAAAAGGACTTCCGCCAAAGATCGAGAAGAAGGTGTATGTAGGCCTGTCCCAAATGCAGCATCAGTGTTACAGGGACATCCTCCTAAATCAGTTCAACGTGGTGAGTTAAGAGATAGTTTTATGTAAATCGCAATAGTTTGTTTGTCTGTCTGATGACAGAATATTTAAAGAATTTTTAGTGTGTCTACTCAGGTCAACGTTGTATGTATATCTGGGAAATTGGGGATAGCATTGCGAGAAAACTTGCGAGATTTCGCATTACTTTTGCTACAAAAGCATGTATTTTTTTCGCAAATTTACGATTTTATTCGCAAGATTAATTCCCAACCTCTTTTAATCGCTAGAAATTGTAAATAATTCATCGGAACCAATTTATTTGGCACAACTGGTTGTACAGATTTGCGAAATCATATTTTACGATTCCCCTCGCGACACTAATTTCGCAATTTTCTTAATTATGTAGTTGCAATGCAAAATATTTAACAAGTTGATGTGAGTACGCCCAGAGTTTAGTCACTTATATTAGAGAGCGAAATTAATTACCAAGCCTGTCTTGAATTAACGTGACGTATCATAAGTTTAGATGAATTATGCAAAAGTAAATTTCGATAATTTGAATAGATATCATGTCAAAATTAAATTCTTAAGTGGTACATTATCTTTAATTATCTAATTTTTCTTTTTTTTCTCCCCTAGTTAAATTCCGAGGGAAAAATGAGCCACCAAAGGCTCGCCAATATCGTCATACAACTCCGGAAATGCTGCAACCACCCGTACCTCTTCCGCGGTCAGGAGCCTGGTCCTCCCTACACGTGCGAACCCCACCTTTTCACGAACTGCGGAAAAATGCTGGTGATGGACAAACTCCTGGAGAAACTGAAGCAGGAGGGAAGCCGCGTCCTCCTCTTTTCATCGATGGCCCGCATGCTGGACATTTTGGAGGACTACTGCTTCCTCAAAAAAATTAAGTACCACCGACTCGATGGATCGACAGAGTTACCGAAAGACAGAGATGATTGATGAGTTTAACAGTCCAGGTGAAGAGAAGGAAATTCTTTCAATTATTTATGAACAGAGCACAGTGGTCTGGAATATTGAATTTCTTGTCCAAAGCCTATTCTCTCCGATTCGAAAACCAATTACCCTCTTCAGTACCTTTGACATAGATGTTCAATTGTGGAAAGTTTCATTGGAATTGGCCGAGCGGTTATGACGTGGCATATGCCTAAAGTTGGCTTATAACATTGGATTAAATGGGAAAAACTTCAAGTTGAAATCCTGTCTAGTCCTGTGCAATTTCGAGAAACCGTAAATACATTATTAATCCCCTATATCTCATCTACTAAAACTGCTGCAACCAGCTGCCACCATTACAAATAGGCAGAGAGATTTGAATGTATGTAATTGAAAATTGCCATACGCAAAATATCTGGAATGCTCCAATCATTGTCACGTATGAAATTTTCGAGTGTTCCAAATAACACAATCGCTCCAAAATATGTTGCCCATTCCTTGGGGAAGGAAATACGATAAAACACACCCCTCGAAAAAAATTATTACGAGCGGGGGAATTTTATGAATTGGTGACCCCCTGAGGAGGCGTAACTAAGTTTACAATTTTGGTCCTATTTTCTTTGTTAATGTCTTTAGAGGGCAAAAATATTTAATAAAACTATAGAATATTGTCATTTCATGAATATACATCCTCAAAATTATCGAAAAAAAACTTTCAAATTTGTATTTTGACCACACCCACTGGCTGTGGGTGTGCCGATATTGTCCCAATAATAGCCGGAGTTGTTTAGAGCTTGATTAGACCTTTCAAATGACCCCCACTTGATGGGGTAATGCGAGAAAATAAATATCGACCTGTTACCACACCCCCAAAGGGGTGTGGTTTCAATGAAAGTTGCATAACTTATATCCCTTGGAACTTCATATCTCGATTCCCGAAGACAGAAATCGAAGAAATTCAATTGTTCGAGAGTTATAGGTTTTGGCAAACAAATAAAGCAATCCAGACCAGTGTGCAGAGGGCGGATGTGGATTGATTCTCTAATTTTTAATTGGATGACGACCAACAGTAAAATTTTGTAGGTGTGTTCCCTAACTGGGACAGGTAGCCAAAATTTCAAAAAAATCGTATATTGTAAAATTTTGCTAGGTTTTCGCAAATCGTAACTATTATGCAAATACTTTACAAGGAAATTTTTACAACGTTACAGTCAATACAATTTTCGTAAATACATAGCCGCCCTCTGATTATCATCATAACCGTTCACATTCATTTATTCAGTAGAAAATGAATAAATTATTCAGTCATTATTATTCAGTAAATTTGTGAATAAGAAGTGAATGATTTTTTAACAATGAATACTAAGTAATTACTTGTTTTCAAATTTTGTAGTGAATTGATAATGAATAATTTTTTTAATTTTTATATTGAATGAATTTTAAATGAATAAATATTTTGTGAACAGGTATCGAAATCATGTGTAATTAATTCGGTTTGGTTTTTTATTTTAGGGAGCGAGACGTTCCTCTTCATGCTGACGACGAGGGCGGGCGGTCTCGGAATCAATTTGGCTTCGGCGGATTGTGTCGTAATCTACGATTCTGACTGGAATCCAATGGTGGACCTGCAGGCGATGGACAGAGCGCACAGGATCGGACAGACGAAGGAAGTCCGCGTTTTCCGACTGATAACGGAGGACTCCGTGGAAGAGCGGATCGTGCAAAGGGCCGCACTCAAGTTAAAGTTGGACAATGTAAGAAAATTATAAAATTTTGAAATTTAATTGATTTCGAGGTTTGACATTTACTAAGGGGTGAAACAAAGTGAAACCTCTTTATGGAAATGTACTCTCCGTCCGTCTGATTCTATCCACGATAAGTTTAAACAAATGCGAGACAACTTATCTCATTTGGTGCCACCTTATTTCGTTTGCTACAATTTAGTTAGGGATGCAAATGACAAAATTTAAAAAATCCAAATTTATTCATTGACATTAACGAAATTATTGAGTTTGACACTTGACAGTTTTCCAAAGAAATATTACGTCTTTAATTAAAAATCTACTTACTTATTTTTTCAGGTCGTCATCCAACAAGGCCGTATCGTCGACAAATCCCAAAACGTCCCTCCTCCGCCGATCTTTATCTTGGATCAGACACAGTGCTAAATCCATCTTATCGTCCGACGGAGTAGAAACCATTGCGGACGAGACGATCCAAGAGATCCTCTCAAAATCAGAAGCCAAGTCGGGCAAGGTGGACGAGGCCATCAACGCCCTGCCCGAAAGCAAGTTGGCCACCTTCACCATCGATTCGCAGGAAGAGGAAAAGGACTTTTTCGACTTTGGCGGCGAGAATTTCCGGCGGGTGAGGGAGGAACACAGGCGGAAACAGAGGGAAGCCAAAACAACTTCCGGGTATTTCGATGTAGACGAAAACGTCACCGGAAGTCAGCGGGCCAGCAAGAAGAAGGCGCTTAAAACGATTAAAGAAAAATCAAAGAGATAACAAAGGATCGTGATAAGAAGAGTCGCACAACTAAGGTATTTTATTTGGATGGAATCGCTAAAATTGGCATGTTTTTAAGAATTTCGTTCTGCTCTGGGAATTCATTCTAAAATTCTGAAACGAGGTTTCAGTTTTTCGGAGTTTCCAGTTTTTTTTTAAATATCGTACACTCCAGATTTTGACGTTTTTTGAAGGAGATCTCAAGTTTAGGAACCTTCAGAAAAAATTGAAACTCATCGAAACAGGCTGAAAAAACTCAGCACATTTTTCATCTATCATTTTTCATTGACTAACAATTTGTCGTCCAGAATTTTTAAAATAGTTCCAGAACAGAATGATTTAAATTGTGCAGATTTGTACATGCGGTAATCAATGAATTTAAGCAAGTTGCATTTCCCATTAAAACTATACAACTTAAAAAAAGCATAATTGTAAATTTTTATTTCTGAAATATTTTGTAAAATTTTATAATATTCTAATTTGATTTCATATCCAAAATTTAACTATTTTTGTTTTCATTTCCATTTTTCCAGGTGCCCAACGTGGACCCGGAGTCTTCTTCCTCATCTTCGGACGGGAATTACTCGGACAAGTACATGCGTGACAGCAACGACCTTGACGAAGACTGGACCCTAAACCGGACGAGGTCAAGCGGGTAGAATCCGAGGAGGAGTGGGACACGGGTGAAATGAACGACGGATTGTCGACCACCCCGTCACGGGGATGAGTCGTGGCTCCGAAAGTCAAATTTGCCCACGGATCCCGAAGAAATCGCGAAAATGATGGCGGCCTCGTTCAACAAAGCTCCCGTCCCGAAAACCATCGCGGTGAAAAATAACTTTCACTCCATGCCGGACTCCGCCTTCAAAAGTTTGTACACGGAGGTGGACCCCTCTTGAAAAGCATCATGTGCAAAATGTGTGGCCTCGTTATTCTCGGAACGGGCAATGTTGCAAGTATTAAGTTGTTCCGGGCGCATTTTAAGTAAGAATTTATGTACTTACAAGGGAACCTTTTTTCAAGCTACACCAGGATTTTCGAGCAATCTAGATAGTAAAAACGTCAAGCCAAAAATTTAAGATCGCGTGATACTTATTTTTGATTTTGTAGCGAGTTATGTTAAAAAGTCAGGTTAAAAAATTAGGACTCACGTGACACTTATCTTTCCGATGGATGACCCCTTTGTAGAACTATATTGACCGTAAAGTTCAATTTAAAGAAAACCAAGGCGGAGTGAGAGATTTGCTGCCCATATTTTTTTTTAATTGGTCATTTAACAGAAAGATAAATCCCACGTGACTCGTAATTTTAGGCTTATTAAAAATATGTAATTCGTTTGAAAATCTTGTTGTTTAGCTTGAAAAAAGGTTAAATTATTAGAATCTCCCAGCGTATGCTCTCCTTTTGAGCAAATTAGTGACAATCGACCATAAATTTAATTGATTTGAAATTGGAGAAAGGTTAGAAAGTGCAAAATTTGTGAATTTTAAAACTATTATTTTCCTCTCTGGATGCAACTATTATTTTCCTCTTTGGATCCAAATATCTTTCCCAAACGTGCCCATAGGGAGGTCTTGTCTATTTCAAATTTCAATAATTTCATACTAATTAAATTTATGATCGAGTGGCACTAATTTGCTCAAAATCCGAGAACAATTAAGTTTTCTTTCGCTATTTAATTAAATAGGTATTTTAATCATGGTTTTCTTTTTAAATGTAGAGCACTACACTTTCTGCAAATAGGGCCCAAACCCGTCGCAAAGCTGATAAAGCCCAAGCTACCGAGGCCAATTCTTCCTGCTTTGCCGTCAACTTCACGTCCTTTGAATCTTCTGATGAACAATGGCCACATGGAGAAAGCAGTTAGGATGATGTTAGAAAAGAAGGGTCAACAGCAAGGTCAAGGTCAACAACCACCTGCCCCTAATCCCACCACCAAGTATAACAATTCCGCAGCATTGGCACGAATGCCGATCGACTTTTTCAAGCAGTACTACACCCCGCTTGACGGCGACGCGAGAAACTACTCCTCCGTCGAGTGCAAATTGTGTAAAAAGGTTTTGAAAGCGAATAACGCCCACACGTACAGCAGCCATTTCCGGTGAGTGGGTGGATTGACACTGTTAAAAATGAATTGAATTTTGTATGAATTTGGTATGAGAGTTTGAATTTGATATTAAGTAATTAACCTATGTAAATCCACCGTAACGTTAGCTATCTGGACTCGATGGTAAAATCCTCAAATCAGCAAATTTTTAATTATTTCTCCCTCTGGAATTTATTTTTAAAATTCTGAACGACAATTTGTGGAGCTAATTTTTTTGGAAGTACGCCTTTCAGATTTCACAGGTTATGAAGAAGATCTCAAGTTAAAGAAATCTTCAAGAAATTTAAACTAGGTATATTAAAAGCTCGTCGCCATTCTAGTAATCAACTTTCTGAGAACAAATTTATTCAGAATTTTAAAATATGTTCTCAGAGCCAAAGAGATAGTATTAAAAATGTGAGGTTTTTGACGAGTAACCAAGATAAATAGTAAAATTTGCTCAAGATTTGGTGTAGTAAAGTTTTACTTAATATAGAAATCAGAGTAAATCTTCTAAAGGACCACATTATTTTTAAGAGTGTAAAATTTTTATTATTTTTTTAAAATTAGAATTATTTCTTAAACTAACTGTTTAATGTATTTTTATTTTAGGCGCAAACACAGCGACGTTGTCGTACCTGAATCATCCAACATATCGCAGATTGACGAGGACAACTTGGCAAACTTGTTGAATCTGGATGACCCGGATGATCCAGACCAAAGTCCGAAACCTCCTGCTCCTCGACAACCCCGAAAACAAAATCTCGTCCCAGAATCAAATCAATTCCCCCCTCAGAACAACCATCATGTTCGGTCCTTAGTCAAATAATAATGAGAATACTAGCGACATAGAAATTGTGGATGATGAAAAGGGAGAAAAAATCAAATCAGGATCATAAATGAAGCAAAATTGGAAAGATGGATGAAAGTGATGACAGTGAAGTGGAAATCTTGGGCGATGAAGATGAAGACGAATCAGAAAATACAGGAAAGTCGAAAAAATGGATGATAGTGATATCAGCGAAGTCGAGATATTGCCGGACGAGGAAGAATCTAGTGAAAAAATAGGACAGACTTTCATAAGTTATCATGAGAAGTAAGAGGATTTAAAGTATTTTGAAAATTTCCAAAATTAAATAAGTAATTTCCATTGGAAATTACTTGTGCAATTTTATGAGTGAGAAAATTAAGAATGGAGTCTCTGAATGCTCTCCAATTTTGAGCAAATTAGTGTCAATCGATCAGAAATTAGGATGAAATTTGTGGAAAATTCGATCTGCAAATGGGCACGTTTAGCCGAGATATTTGCCTCCAAAAAGGTTGACAAATTTTACCCTTTCCAAATTTCCTGTGCATTTTCTCCTCTTCGGATGCGAATATGTGGGAGGTCGTGGCTTTTGCAAATTTCATATTAATTAAGGTTGTACTCGATTGACACTAATTTACTTAAAAATCGGAGAGCATAGGCTTAGACATCTCCCTTGAAGTAACCATGTTTAATTTTATCCTTTACAGAAACCAGGTCCAGACTAAAACCACCACGAATAAGAATGAAATTCCTGGCCGACTTCGCGCCCGCGCTGACCCTGCCCAACCAGAAGTCCGGCGAAATTTCCCACTTCCTGCAAAGCCGTGAACCGACTTTCCAAAACGGATTTAAAGCAATACTACAATCTCACCGAGGAGAAAAAATTCCGCTGCACCATCTGCGACGTGGAGGAAGACAACATTACGAAATTCAGGTGGCACTTGATGTAAGTTTTAATTAATCAGTTAATAATTTGGGTCAACCTCGCAAACGTCGTAATTCGCAAGTTTGCCATGTTTGGGAAATCAGCCTTTATAATTAAAATAGATGCAATGAGGTAAAAGAAATTAACATTCTTGAAAGTTTTTGTTGAAAAAAAAGTTCACAACATAAACTATGCCCTGTTGCTGTGCATATTTTGCAAAAATACATTCACAAATGAAATTCCAACTCTGCAAATTTACGGAGATACTCCTTGCGAAGTAGGGGTTACTACGCTTACAAAGTGAATACCCCCAGTATTTCGAATTCTTAGTATTTGTATCATAAAGTAAGATGCGAAATTTTGTAAAAATTTTTCATTATTCCCTCACGTTACTAAGGTTGCGATTTTTGTTAAGCTTGATCCCTACTTTTTTTCTTGGTAATCTATTTTACAAAACGAAGGAATTAATGAAAATTAACTCAAGAATTATGTCAGTTACGCTAACTAAATAATTTATTTTATTTAATTGCAGGATCCACATTGAAAAGGTTGGCAGCAAAAGTAAAACCAAAAGTTCCTGCGAAAATCCTGCTTTATCTTTGCCGGAAGGGACGACACGCGCAGATGTGGATGTCATGGAGAGGGAGGAGCTTCTTCAATACGGCGACGTTCTCGAACCCAGTGGCGACTTCCGGTGCAACATCTGCTCCTCGTGTTCAAGTGTCGGAGAGAGAGTGCAAAATTTAAGAAACATTTGAAGTAAATAGAATTCTGAAATATTTAGATAAGTTAGATAAATTTGCACGGAGGTTTCGTAAAACTAATTACGACGGTTCATAAATACCTGTTCAAGTTCATTCATTTGATGACTTCTTATGATACTGAATGAAAATGAATTTCCTGCCATTTGAATCAAAACGAATGAAGGATTCCAAAGTTTTCGCTAATGTTTTTTCATATCGTAAAACTAAAGCTACGACGGTTCATTTCATATATACCTGTTCAGTTTCATTCATTTGACTTCTTACGATAAATACTGAATGAAAATGAATTTCCTGTGATTTGAATGCAAATGAGTAAAAGATTCCGTTCCGTCATTTCAGATGAATGAATGTGAATGAATGATTCACTCCTTTCATGTCTCACGCTATGCTTACGACATGGGCGAAGTGTATAAGAAATGAAGTCAAATGAAGTGTGAAATGAAATGAATTTGAACGAAAATATCTGAATATGAATGAAAATCTTTTCCCTCAGAACTCGGGATGACTGATTTTTGAAAACTAAATTTTTGAACTGGGATGAATTTATTGACATAATTCATTTTATTTATTGAAGGAGCCACGTTGGAGACCAAGCCGAAAGTTCGGACGACGAAGATCCTGGGGCGATAACACCCCTATTAACCTTACCGGAGGGGACGACACTCTCAGACGTGAATGCCATGGAGAGGGAGGATCTTCTTCAATATTGCGAATATCTCGAACCCCAGGGCGATTTCCGGTGCAAACTTTGCTCCGCGCGGTTAAAGGGTCGCAACAACATTTCAAAGTTTAGGATACATTTACGGTAAGCTGAATTGCTTATGTATGAAATGTGCAGAAATTCTGTCTGTCCATTAAATTTAGACCCTCTTTTTTCTTCTGCAGAATTGAGTTTGTATCTAATTATAAAATACACACCAGTACATTCTTTGCGAGATTATTCAATTAAAAGTCGTAGAGTTCCACTGGATTACATTAGCCGAATAATTACATTATTTTACACCACTTTATTTTTATTTCGGCGTACAACTTATATTCAACTTGGTGTCTATTTAGAAATTGAATGATTTTTAATTGCTAAATTATGTAATTATTTGGCTAATCATTAAGGGCAGGAACAGCGTAAATATGTAAATATGCAAAATGTGTACTGTGCAAATATTAATTATTGAAATGAAGTTTCACAATAGAGGACTTTTTTTTGCTATGGACCCCCTGAAACATTTGTATTTAAATTTTGATAAATGATAACACTAGCTAGTGAAGTACGTCCAAACAATGCAGAAAATGGGTGCTAAAAAAATCCACATGTCAAGGGTACCTCTGAGGGACCCATAATACCTTTTACACATATCCCTTCATTGTGGGCCAACCAGATGTCGTAAAAATACGGGGTTTGGATATTTTGTATCTACATGCGATTGTCTAAAACGAACTTCAATAAGGAGCCGCTACGTGACCTTTTTGACCTAAAGTTTGACCTTTTAAATTTACATGTATTGCATAAAATTGGCATGCTAATAAACTGTAAAACTTAATTTTTATAGAGGTCAAACTTTATTTCAAAAAGGTCACGTAGCGGCTCCTTACTGAAGTTCGTTTTAGACAATCGCATGTAGATAAAAAATATCCAAACCCCGTATTTTTACGACATCTGGTTGGCCCACAATGAAGGGATATGTGTAAAAGGTATTATGGTCCCTCAGAGGTACCCTTGACATGTGGATTTTTTAGCACCCATTTTCTGCATTGTTTGGACGTACTTCACTAGCTAGTGTTATCATTTATCAAAATTTAAATACAAATGTTTCAGGGGGTCCATTGCAAAAAAAAGTCCTCAATAGTTTTTATACTATTTAATTGCAGGAGCCACATTGCAAAGGTTTCTGCTGTGATAACGCCCGCTTCCTCCTTGCCGGAAGGGATCACCGTCGAAGACGTGGATGACATGGATAGGGAGGATCTTCTTCAATACGGAGATATTCTCGAACCCAGTGGCGACTTCCGGTGCCACCTTTGCACCCTCGTGTTAAAGTGTTGGGGAAACATTTCCAAATTTAGGCGACATTTGCGGTAGGTGGAATTTTGAAATACTTTTTTTAATGCTTTTCGATTATATGTATGAGCAGAGGGCGGATATGTAAAGGGTGTTAATAAAGTCCGATCCCATGCATTTTTTGGAGCGTGGTTGTTACAAATTCAGCTGGAACTTTTGAACCAGTGAAGTTATTTATTTCAAATTTTTACCATGGGAGGAACAACTAAACGTGTAAGTCATGAGCATCTTAGAGTTGAGATACAAACATTGCATCAGCAGGGGCTTAAACCTACAGAAATTGTGCAAAAATTGGGCTGCAGCCGCAGAACTGTTTGGAAATGGAAGAATAAAAATTTTGTCCACGACAAAAAGCGACCAGGGCGACCCAGAAAGGTGTCACCTACCACAAAAAGAATGATTAAAAACAGACTTTGCAAGAAAACCGGTAGTTCATTACGTAATTGAGCAAGGGAGTTAAATGACTCAAAACGCTATAAAGAGAAGAAGAAGCAAATTAACTGTGTGACCGTGCAAAAATTTGTGAAAACTACGAAGTGGGGTCACACAGCTTACAAACTAACCAAAAAAACCTCTCATGTCACAAAAATATATCGATGACCGTCTGAAATTTGAAGAACTCCTTCAGAAAAGTGCCCATTTGAGTGAAAAAAGACTTGGTGAAGAATTGCGCAGTCACATCCTTTGGACTGACGAATCTATTATTGAACTATATCCAAAATTGAACCAACAAAATGTTCGTTACAGGACAGAAAACAAATCGGATGTACCATCAAGAGCGATCCCAAAATTCGGGCTTAAAGTTATGGTAGCGGGTGGATTTTGTGCACGTTGCGTGACCCTCTACATATCATACCAAAAGGCCAATCAGTCAATGCAAAGCATTATATGGAAAAAATATTACCTATCTATTTCGATAGCATGGGGAACAAGGAAATATTTCCGAATGAAAGAAAAATAGTTTTCATGCAGGATGGTGCTATAGCCCATACAGCAAAAGCGAGTTTGAGTCTCATCAAGACGCAAGTTTCAACGGTCTGGAGCAAGGGGGTGTGGGCCGCTAACGGCCCAGATTTGAATCCCCTGAAGAACCAGTGGTCCATACTTAAGGAAAATGTATACAAAGAGCCACAACCCCGGACGAGGGAAGAGCTAGTAAAAAAAAGTTCAAGATGTATGGAATTCGATTTCCAGAGGCACATTGGAAAAATTAGCACAGAGCCTTAAACAAAGAGTTGAGGGCATGGTTAAAGTAAATGGTAACAAGACCAAATACTAAGGTAAATATGTCGAACATTTTTTGTAAGTATCACGGGTATTTTTTTTATACTAGCCTTCACTTTTTTACAGGAAAAATGGGATCGGACTTTATTAACACCTGTATTTATCTACTTTCAACTTTTCACTGACCGATGGTCAAATTTCGCATTTAGATTACAAAAATTTCTAAATATTTCAGAATTTTGTTAAATATTTGGAGGACATTTTTATTCTTACTTAAAAAATTTCTAAATCTGTTAGATATTTTTTCAAAAATGTGTAGATATATTTTTCGTAAATATTTCGATGATGACAAGATTTTTTGTTTTCTTTAAAGAAATTTGGTCACAAAAAATCCAGAGAATTCAATGTAAAAACAAATTTTGTGAAAATGATTATTTTTTTCGTACATATATATTTCGTAAATATTCTGGCGTTAAATCGTCAATTATTAAATCTTGACCTTATTTTAAATAATTCGGAATTGGTAATGAATAATCCACATTTTTAATCGTTAACCTAATATTTATCTTTGTAACTAATTTGTTTAAACGTTCCTTCTGATTTCCAGAGCACACGTTGTGAATGGTGACACGTCCCCCATCAGAGCTCTGAAAATGTCCACCCCAAAATTAAACCTAACTTTACCACCGTCCTCCACATTTTTGACAATGGGAAACGACGAACTCCGTGAATTCTGCACCTTCCTCCCCAACGGAAATATCAGCTGTAACATCTGCAAAATCAAATTACGGGCTCAATCAAACATCTCCAAGTTCAAGAGACACCTTTTGTAAGTAATTAATTATTACATTCTTTTTAAGTTTACACTCTTAAAAATAATGTCACCCATTTAGAAAAGGAAGGAAATGTACACTAAATTATGCATAAACTTTACTAAATCCAGAGTAAACTTTGCTCTTTTATCAAGTTAACGGTACTCTGGATTTAGTATAGTTTACTTAATATAAAATTCAGGGTACATTTACTTTACAAAAGGGGAACATCATTTTTAAGAGTGTAATCTATTATTGGGGAACGTTCATAAAATACGTGACGGAAAATTGTCGATTTTTTTAACGGATTACGCCCCCTTTTTGACACGTGGATCAAGTTTAAGTACATTAAATCGAACAGCTCGACCTCTTCTGCTACATCACGTCTTTTTTGAACGCACCCTTCATGGAAGAGATAAATAATTTATTGTAATTGTTGTTTTTACACAGTTCTACTCACAACACGAACACCGTGGAGGATTTAATCACGATTGGTGACGATGACGACGACGATGACGAGCAGGACGTAAAAATGGAAGAGGAGGATGTAAAAGAAGAAGATGATGATGAAGAAGCTGGGTTTTTTCTTGGCGAGGAAATAGTTCCGGACGCTTCTTCGGATAAAGATTGTATTATTTCCCCCATGGATGGAAGTGAGAGGGGCGAAGAAGATAAGGCAGAAGAATCTGAGGCTGACGAGGTGGAAATACTTCCTGACGGGGAGGAGTCAAATGAAGATTGTGGAAGTGATGAGGGGGAGGAAGAAGATAAAGCAGAATCGGAAGAGGAGGAGGACTGAATAGTCGTCAGATTTATAATGCAAAATTTTATACGGAAACTAAAATATTTATGAATTGCAAATAATAATCAATATTATGTATTGGCAAAAAAGTTGTATCTTCGTAATAAATATGTGACAAAGGGTATTTTTTAAGTTGTGTTTTTTTACAAGGGACAAATTAAGGACAAGTTGAACGGTCAAAGGTCACCACCGGTGCACCAAATGTCGTAAATATGCAATACGATACGCATAATTTGAAAACTCCAAATGCGTATTAAAATTTAAAATTATAATTTACATACCTATTTCAAATTGAATTATGTAAATTTGTTTTCAAGCTAGACAGACGTGACACCGTTATTTAAAAATTGCACACTTTACTCATGTAAATATTGGATTTTATTTAAAATTTTAAAAATCCAATAATTTTTAAAATATACACGTGTTTTGTTTTTGGAAATATGTAAATCATCTTCAAATTTTCACTTCCACAGTTCCACGTATAAACTTGATTCAATTATTCCATTTAAATTAACCAATTTTAGTCAAGGACAGGACCACGTTTTCTGGCCGGGCTGTCGTCATTGATGCGGGTATCCTCATTGGCACCAGGGTTTCCGGGGTGGCGGCAAGTTCAAAATTTTGAACGATGTGACACACCCCAATTTTACTTCTAACAGGGCAATCCGCATTCCTGTCAATTACATACATACATATTTAAATATTATCTTGCTAGTATTTAATGATTTGCTGGAATAACTGATACGAAATTTATTTTCATTAGGGGACATTCATAAATTATGTGTATGTAAAAATCGCGATTTTCTAGACCCCCTACCCGGTTTAATATGAGTCATATAGGTCGCATTGCATAATTTATGAACGACCCCTCACGACACTCCTTAAAAATATTTAATGTAAACCTTTCCATTCATGTTATACGAGACCGTATAACAAAATTCGATTTCTGCTGCTTTATTCCCGGAAAAGGGGGAAAGTAAATTCCGAAAACTTCACCCCCCCCCCCCCCAAAAAAAAATAGACCCTAAAAATGCTCGACAATACCCTAAAACTTTCAAAATTTCCTAAGAATATTAGATATTGCCGGAAACCTTTAAATACTTTCCTAAATAGGTAGAAATTATCGGGAAGCTATTTGTTAAAAATGACAGAAATTGTCCGGAAACTTTCAAAATTTTCTAAAAATGTTCGGAAACTTTCCCAGCATAAGTTTGCATCACAAATCCAACCCACTTACGAAACCATTGTGCCTCACCTATGCACATCCTGACCCCGTGGCCGAAGGGGAAATACGCAAATTCCGTGGTGCTCCGATTTTCCGTGGAAAATCGGTCCGGATCAAAAACGTCGGGATTCGGGTGATACTCTTCGTCCCGCTGAAACCCGTGGATCGAAAGGATCACGCTGTCTCCCGGCCGCAGGATGACTTTACTGTTCGGAACAGCGTATTCCTGGATACACACGCGCGGCACCATTCCCAAGGGAGGGTACATTCTCAACGTTTCTGAAAAATAAGTTTAGAATTAAGAATTTAAAACGTTTGCCGAATTAAAAAAAATTGTACACAGGGTTTCGATTGGTAAAAAAACATGGGAACAGAAACTTTTAGCAGTTTTTTCTATACCACCACCAGAACTACTGGTAAAATCGAAAATTTTATTTAGGGCGATTCGAACAAACACTTCAAAACTTTTAAAATTTCACTTCATATCCATTAAATTCTTAGAAAATAAGGTGAAAATATCAAAATTCCAATAATTTTCAAAATTAACAGGTTGAAAAGTACGTATGAAAAGAATCAAAACTGTTTCAATTTTTGGAGCAAATTGTTTCCCAATTTTTTAAAGAAATATATTCGTGGTATGTCAGGGGGCGTCCATAAATTACGTAACGTGAGAAAGGGGAGGGTGGTATCTAAGGCTCCAATGATACCGTGCCTACGTTGTAGAGGGGTCTGGAAAATCACGATTTTTGCGTTACGTAATTCATGGACGTCCCTTAACCACCATTGTTTCTGGGTACAAACTTGGCTTATTTATCTTAGATACTTACCATGGATAACCATGTCGAGATAGGTCATCCCACAAACCCCGTCATATGTGAATTCACCCCAGCACGTCCTTTATTTCGTCCCTCAATCTCCTCTGCACATTCGGATTCAGCGCCAATTCGTAGGCGCACATGGCCAAGACAACTTCCGTCGTTTCGTACCCAGTGAGCACCAAAGTGTACAAATTCGAGATTATAAAGTCCTTCTCATCCTCCTCCCGCCCATTCGCCCCCCGCCCAATCGCTTCCCGCCCAATCGCTCCCCGCCCATTCGCTCCCCGCCCAATCGCCTCCCGCCCGTACAACTCTTTATACGAGGAATGAATCAGATGGACAAAATCATTCAAATTTTTCTTTCCCGCCCCACCCTCACTTTGAATCTTGGCCTGGGCCACGTCCCCGTAAAAGGTGCCAATTTCTTTATCCATTATTGTAACCCGGAAATAGTTTGTTACCCGGGGTAACCACAGGATAAACATGGGTTTCACCCAGTCCGTAAATTTATCAAAGGAGGTATAAACCCTGTCAGAAATTTGTTCGAAACGTGACGGTTCCCGGGTTTTGAGGCAAACCGTGTCTAAATTCAGGGTAACGGAGGCCACCACGTCGAGCGAGTATTTATGGATGGGTAAATTCAAATCGCAAACCAAACTTCCCGCGGGGTCCATTTCGTGGTTGAAGTATTCTACTAGATTTCTGCCCACGTGGTTTATCTGGGCGAAATTGTGCTTGATTTTGCTCGGTGTGAAACCACGGTCAAATTTGGCGCGGGTTTTCTTCCAATGGTCGCCTTGCAGGTAGACGAGGGATTTTGAAATGATGTAATCCCCCGCGAAGGAGAGGGTGGATTCTGTCCGCTCAATTTGAGTAACGTCTTTGACCTTAGTTGTTCAAAAAATAATTCTTTATTGAAAATTAGACATTGGAAAAAATTATTCATTCATTATTCATTCTTTTATTAACTTAATCTTAAATTCCCCTTATTGCATGGATTTCTCAATGTGCCTCATGGATCAAGCATGCATTACAAAACATGAAAAATAAGAAATGAATAAAATTATTCATTCACTCTTCACCAAATTAAATGAGTAATTCAAAATTTTTATTACAAAATTTTGAAAAAATTATTCACTCATTCCTCACTCATTCAATGAATGAATAATTTATACATTCTTTTTCTTAGGTGAGGCTATGGTTACAGAAAAAAAACCTAAGTAAGCATTCCATGACAGTCTGAAAAGTGACCACAGGCCATTACTTTTTCATTTCTCAACCGATTTTGATCAAATAACCCAGAGTCATTTATGACGGTGCTTTATCATAATCGTTTTCTCTCGGTCCAGATTTCTGACCCCTTGTTTAGTTATTCAAGAAAAACCGTCACTAGGGTCACTTTCTGGTTTATTATAAAAATGTGGATGAGGTGATCATCGCCACTTGATTAAAATAATGTAACAAATTCATTTATCTTTCATCTAAAATTGGGATGAACAAAATCGGTTGAGAAATGAAAAAGTTTTCCTTTGACACAAAAGTCATGCTGCATATGGTGGGAAGTAGTAGCTTAAGGGGACTGGTCACATGGCAATACTCACTCAATAACACTTTGGATTAATTGAAAAAACAACATAAAATCACTATTATGGTTTTCCTCTTCGATAAGAGATCATTACTGGCCGGCGTATGTTTTTACATGTCTGTATGACTCTGCCGGCATGGTATTAATGAGCATTACATTTCTGGTAATGTAAATTTACCACACAGAAACAACTTTATACGAATCCGGTATTAGTATCAAATTTATACCAGTATGGAGTATGTATCTACTTATATATGCCTCTACCCGATTTTTTACAGTGTGGTTAATTCATTTCGTTAATAACTAATTATCGTAATATTTTCAATTAAAAGCTTAAAATAAACTAAACCTTAAAAAGGATAACTTAGGTGAGACTGGGGTACATATGCGATTAAAAGGATGAAATAATCACCTCACTCCTCCCACACTGAAGAGAAGGTGTTGGTAAAATGAGCATCACGCCTTAGGAATGATTTCTGAACTGTGTGCAAAATAATAATAAGACGGATGATGTATCAAAATTTTGCATAAGCACATCCTAAAATTTGAAGGCTGATTAGTTGATTTTGGAGTGTGTATTCAGGAATATGAAATAATCCCCACCCCCCACCTACACTTTGGAAAACCACCACCAAATATCCTCCTTATTTTTCTTACCGAATATAGTTCATACTTACGTGGTACAATAACGCTGATAACAAATTAATATCTATGAGTCAGGAACAAACAATAGATTTGGAGTATTCGAATTTAATTTAATTGTCACACTATGCACTTACATATATGTAAGTGCATACTATCTGCTTAAAATATCATTTGTCTGTCATTCCCAGGGCGGTGATGCTCATTTTACCAACACCTTCTCTTCAGTGTGGGAGGAGTGAGGTGATTATTTCATCCTTTTAATCGCATATGTACCCCAGTCTCACCTAAGTTATCCTTTTTAAGGTTTAGTTTTATAGAAATATGTAAATATGGACAGGAAGTTCCCTTACACAAATTTCCCGAATCAGGCCCGGATCCCGGGTAACGTAGTACGTCTTGTTGAACAGGGTAAACCCACCGAGATAACTTTTGTCCACTTTGAGGCGTTCGTACAAACCGGAAACGTACTGGGCTGGTCCGTTCCCCTTAAGAAATTCGGGCACAAAGGAACCCGGGACGTCGGAAAAGTAAAGGACGCCACAGGACGCCAAGTACTTTTCGACCGAGGGGTTTTTGAAAATCCAGGAGAGCAAGGTTATCAAGGGGAGGACGAGGTATAAGGCCAAAAATGTGTTTAACGCGCTGCGAGGAGGAGCGGGTTTGGACATTTTGAAAAATGAAATATTTTTCTGAAATATTTTTGAAATTTTTATTTATTTATCGACTTTACTACGTTGTTGCTCATTTTCTGAGCGTTATGGAGACCCCGAGGGTTTAACGTGATGTGAAATATTCCCGATTTAGGTAGGAAATTTCATCAGTATCGTATGTGATAAAAGTATGTACATAAATGGTACACTCTAAGAAATGCGGTGATAGATAGATTGATATTATTCTTGTCATCGTGGGTTGTTTGCTGTATTGGACGTGGTGTCCTTCTGGCATAGGTGTGCAGATTTGAAAAATCCGAAGCAGTTATATTTTTGGTCGGGCGCTGTAACTCGGCAACGCAAATTTTTGGTCGGAAGCGGAAGTACTGGAAATCGGAAGCGCATATTTCGGTCGGAAGCGGACACCTCAGGCGGAAGTTATAGTTCTGGAGTAGCATCGAGCTATGCAAATATGGTGGTTGATTATTTCCATGCGGTGACAAATCTGTAACCGAGCGGTGGCGTGTAATCAAATTGAGTCGCATGCAAATACCTCGTACATATTTATGTTGACACCGGTCGGTCATAATCCAGTGATAAATTTTCTTAGAGTGTTGATAGATAGATATACAAGTTATACAAATTCTGTTAAGATATATGTATGTACATAAAAGCCTGGGAATTTTGAGGCTGAGCTATGTATCTACGACATTTTCGAGTATCTCCAATGCCATCTCCAGTCTTACGTAATTGCGTAATTGAAAGTAAATACATATCGTTTCAAGACACGAACATGTACATATGTATGTATTTATTTTGTATCGGTTTGCATGCATGCAAAAAAGCATTTTAAAATGCATTTGCATTTTAAGCATGCTTAAAATCAATTCAAATTACTATGAATTTAAATGAAATGACAGGAATTATTTAATTATTGTGGGCTTAATTTAGCCCCTCTTCAGCTAAATCGTACCCTCTTTCCTTGACTTAATTAATACAGGATGAAAAAAGAATATTAATTCATTATTCAATAAATTTTTGAATAATGAATTAATAATTTTTTTTTAATTTTTGAATGAATGAATATCGAATCAAAATTTATTGACATCATAAGTATTTACATATGAAGAAGAAATGAATAGTTTTATTCATTTTTCATTTTTCACGCTGTACATGTACATATGTATGTGTATTGGGAAATCCAATTAATAAGGTACTTAAATTTGAGATGAGATGAAATGAATAATAAATGAATAATGAGTAAATATTATTTTCATATTTTAAATTAGTGAATATTGAATGAATAACATGTTCCAATTTTTAAATTGAAGTAACAAACGTTTGCTGAACTGGTAGGTAATTTTTCACACGCTTCCGTCTATAAAATGTTACAAATTAATTTTATTCCCACGTTCTGACTTTACGAAGAGAGCAAATTCCCTTCATGCAGAAATAAATATGTAAATAAATATGTACGCAAAGCTGTTTTACATGCCTATGTACATATTTACATAGGTACATACATACATAACCTTGATCCAGAGTTATCTCCAGAATTATATAATTCTGCAGAATGATTACGCAAAAGTAATAATTTTGCGTACAGAAATTTTCCACATCAATAAAATTTGCATAAATAAAGTCACATGTTAATACAACGTATTTATGTATGTATATATTTACATATTTATGAAATTCATGGAGATAACTTGTAATTGAACATATGCATATATTTTCTTCATCCTGTACAATTTATTTCGTATACTTATGTAAATATCTATGTATCTAAATATGAATATGAACACTCTTTGATCTAGGCATATATATATGCTGCCGTACATAAAGATGTGACCTATTTTTGGGGAATTTAGACCCTTACCCTCCGTACATACACCCCATCTTGTAATTAACCTGGGAAGGATAAGATGCCCTGACCCCCCTTCAAATAGATCACATGCTTTCTGCACAGTCCCTAACTTGATAAAGAGTGAAGTGTATTAAGTAGTACTCTGGAATTTGTACAGTGTACTTAATTTATAAATGTGAGTGAAATTATGTACTTAACACCAGGTAAAATTAATATTAAGAATCTATGTACATAGGCATGTGTATACAAACGAGTGTACACATGAAACTTTGTGAAAAATACGAACACATTGGTTGTGATATATGTACATACACATTACACAAGTTACCACGAGAAGTTATCACATTTGTAAAGCAGTTGAGGAAATGGGGTGAAGATTTGTAACCGGTTTTTAACCATTTGTGTCTAACCAACACGTGCATGCATGCAAACTAGTGTATAACTTTCCATTTCCACTAAAATGTATCAGCAATCTGTAATATGTAATATGTAATTCATCTCTGTCTACGATAGGAATCTACTTCCTTCCTGAATTAAAAAATCCTCTTCTTCATTACAGAAATGAATGAATTAGAATCGCATATTCGTTCAAATTACTTACGTAACGGAATTAAAGAAACCTGTCAACAGATGAAATCCATCAAATTTTTTGTGCCACAATTTTGGGAAGAAGAAGGTGCCACTAATTTGTTACCAATTCAGTTAGTCAGTCTCGTTCTTCTCTCCACTTTGGTGGAGGCAGATTTTCATTAAAGTTGGTAAAAATTTTGTGTGAATTTTAGAAATTAAAATTTTACAATTTTAGTTCAAAAATGAAAACGCATAATTTAGCCGTGTTGATATTTCTTGTAGGAATCAATTTCTCTGTAAGTGAGAGATACAGAAATTTTATACGGATTTTTATTAAAGAAATTTAATACGGAGTTTTTAAAGAAATTTGACACGGATTTTATAAAAATAAATTTTGAAACATTTTTTTCAAATTTTGTACTTAAGGGGCATACAGAATATTGAAGATTTCATGGGGCTGGCCAGAACATGAAGTAGATCATCATCATCATCACGACGATCACCATGACGATCACGATGATCATCACCACCACCACCACCTCCCCCTGGACATCACCACCATCATCACCACGATAAAGGTCACCACCACCACCACCATCATAAGGGGCCACATCATCATCACCATCCCAAAGGGCACCACCACCACCACCACGCCAAGGGTCACCATCACGGCTGGGCAAAGGTTGGAGTAAACCCAAGCAAAAAGTAATTCATAGGGAGCACATTCATAAAATCCACACGCATGTTCATCACATTCACAAGGTGGGTAAAAATGCATATTTAAGTAGCTACACTCTTAAAAATAATGCCAAACTTTTGTAAAGAAACCACAGGCTCAATCCTACATATATACATGTTATTAAATTCAGATTAACGTTAACTTGATAATGAGCAAATTGAGGTCGCTGATTATAAAATTCGGAGCTAATTTCCTTTACAAATGGTAGAATTATTTTTAAGAGTGTAAATCCAAAGTAAAGAGGTACCCTGCATAGGGAACGTCGCCAAATTATTGATGGGCATTAATTTCCGATAATTATTAATTATGGTGATTTACCATTGGTAAATGCACATAATAAGGAAATCACAGCAAAATATGATCAAAATTTGGACAAATTATTGGACACAAATTTGCCCCCGTTCTTTATGCACATTTATGAAGTCCAAAAATTATAAAAATTTCAAATTATTATTTTTCCCTTTTTCCAAAAAATAGCACAACCTGTACAAGCACACGATCCACAAGCACAACCAGCACAAACACATCCTGAACATTGTCAAGGCTCCGGAGCAAATCGTGCACTCGTACAATCAAGAGGTCGTCAAAGTGGTCCCGACCGAGGAGAGGTCGTCAAGAAGATCCCCGTCCACCACGAGCAGTACCAAGTTTTTACCACGGAGGAACAAGCAGCCCCACAGGTTATCGACCATGGACACAAGCATTCGCATTATGACGGGACGATACAAGCCGCCGTGGTTGGAGGGGGTGGGCCCCCGAGGAGGTCGAGTATGCGGGGTGGAGCAGTTAAATATGTAAATAATTGTGTATGTAAATTAGTTGTTAAAATGTGCGGCAAGGAAATAAACTACTTACCTTACAAAATACAAGATTAATTGGGTAAATGATTATGTAAATTATTCCAATTATGTAAATTTCATAAATTATGTAATGCGAAAGAGGAGAAGGGAGTCTAATAAGTTTCCAATGATATCGTGCTTACGCAACACATGCTAAAGGGAGCCGTGGGGTTCTAAAAAATGGTGATTTTTTAATTACATGATTTATGAACGGCCCCTGATTATTGATCATTGCACGGAAATTATCAAATTCAAATTCACATTTTGTTTTTTTAAATTCAAACTTTTAATAATACGACAAAATCTTTGCATATATTTTTCAAATACCTATTTCAATTTATTCAAAAGCTATTATCGTCAATACATTGTCAACCATTGTCGGGAATGTTAAATATTTGTAAATGGAGCCTTATTTTTTTCAAGATCCACACGCCTAATTGGAAAATGCACGTGTTAATATCAAGTTAGTTTAACTTTATGTGAAAATTCATAGTAATTTTGGCCCCGTTTTAATCTCAACCTGGCTAATCTCACACTTTAGTCGCCGGCATCTTCACTAACTCAGTACCAATTTCTGAGAAGATTTAAAACCAATTTATATCTCACACTAAAATCCAAAAAAAAAGTAAATTTTGGGTAATATGAGTAGGGAGTTGAAATTATTACGAAATTAAGGACCAATCTAGGACAGCCGTAAAAAGTTCTTTTATCCCTAATTTAA